AAACAAATGTTTAACAGGAGAGTGATTAAATAAACTGGTATATCCTTTTGATGAAACACTGTGAGCCCATTAAGAAGAGGGTCTGTGAAAAATAATTACATTAAAAATATTCTTATAAGGTTATGTATACTGTTAAGACTAAAGCAAATAAAAATATATAGTGTGATTGTAATTTTGTTTTAAAAAACACACATGCAGGTTTATAGTTAAAGAAGATTGCCAAAATGTTAATATAAGTTTTTTGGTGATGGGAGGCAGGATTACAAGTGACAATTACTCCCTTTTCTGTGCTTCACCATATTTCAATTTTTAAAATGAAATTACATAATCAGAAAAAATACACAATAGAAGATAATTTTAGAACAAATGCCTTCAAAAGACATTCAACACAGAGTTATTGAATAATATAAAAATATTCACAGCCTAAATATTCATTAATAGGAAAGTGGTTTCATAAAATAAGACACACCAACACATTGGAATAATATATACTCAGTCCATAAATATATATTTTCCAAGAATAACTGTGACACAATACTTCCCCTAAGCTAGATAAAACATCTCATCCAGCTAAATGACAAAGGGAGGATGAAAATAGAGAGATGAAACAAAACACACTAAGAAAAACGCAAAAAAAGACAAAACAAAATCCAAGATAAAAAGCATTAAAATAAATAAACAGGGATATTTAACTTTATTAAAAGGTGCAACTCCCTCGAAAGGCTGCAACTGTGACAAATATGAACAGTCACACACCTAACTGCATAGCCAGGAAATGAGAGAGGCAAAGACAGATAGAGATGCAAGAGAAACTGATCATCCACAGACACTGTGGGAGGCATTAACCTAAAAGTGAGCAGATCACACAGACAAGACTGGATAGACTGTGAGTAACCCAAATTAAGGTCAGGGTATGAAAGTTATGTACGTATGCCTAGAATAGTGCTAGGAGGAAATTACTCAAATACAGTATTAACAGTTTGTTCTGGAATGGAAGGGTATATAGTGTTCTCTTTCTCCTCCTCTGTATTTTTCCGTTATGAAATACACTTTTAGAATGGAAAAGAGAAAAAGTTCAAGTCCAAAGAGTATAAAGGGCTACATCACAGAGTCATGAACACAGCATTCATAGCACGTGCTGGACTCTGCTCAAATGACTCCACCAGGCAAGTACAGCTGTGAACAGGGAAAGGCAGGGCTCAGCAAGCAGCTGGCCAAAGGCGAACTCGCCTTCCTTACACCACACCAGAGGAGTGCATGACAGCCCCTTTCAGAGCTGGGCCAGATTTTCCTCTCAGGCAGGCTAGGGAGGGGATTTATAGGTCCAGGGGGATCCAGACATCTGTGCTCATGTCTAACCTTTCTGGTGGGAAGCAGACAGAGCGCCATGCGTCCGGGCTGTCCTTCCCCTACATCCACAAATGCCGCCTTTGTGCTGAGGCTCAAGCCCCCAGCCCATGCGGGTATGGGGAGGCAAGAGAGAACAAATCCTGCAGTGTCTTGCTGAATTGTTGCTGCAAGGACCACTCATGTGTGACTGGGCTTTTAACCTTTTTGGAAGAGGCAGCCAGTCCAGAGCTCTCCTGATATCCTCCTGGGCTAACCTGTACTCTCCAGAGGAGCCAGAGGAAGAATGCTAAGTGTTCCAGCATTGATTAAAGCATCATGTTTGGGCCTAAGTCATTTCTTCTCCTATAATTAAAGGAATCTAATCCGAGAGACATAATTGGATATCCAAAGGGATACACGTGTCTCTAAGGTGCCAGGAGCTGGGGAAAAGGAATACTGCCAGAGAGAAACAAGCTGCTCAATTACAGCCTCAAGTCATTTTTGGAATAGAAAAGGCACAAATAATATACACATATAGATGAAGAATAAATGGCTGCTGAGAAATATGAGGCAGCCCGTACACTTCTTGTTCTCTGTTCCTTCCCTATTAGAATGGGCATCAAGACCTAGACAAAATGGGAGAGCTCCTCTTTGGGGCCTGTCTCCTCCCAATCCTCATTGTGCCCAGGCTACACAGGCATCCTCTCCCAGTCTAGCTGATAAGGGAAAAAATAAAGTCATGAGGCAATGACTAAGATGCTAGGACTGGACACACTGCTGTAGAAGTTACATTTCATGCACAAAGTGAGTTACAGGAAGATACTGGAGAGAGAAGATGGTTTTCTCCATGCTTCACAGAGCATCCTGCAGACATGGCTGTCTAATTCTGCATACAACCTCAGGAGCAAAGTTCCATTCACTGTCTTCCACCACTCCCTACCGACCCCACGCACACAGACACACTCAAACATAAGCATGTTGCTCAACCTCTCTCCATGTCTTTGTGTATTATCATTATGAATAATTGTTCTGTTTCTGTTGGGTTGTTTCTGTCCATTACATGAGGCCTAGAGTTAGTCATTTATCATGATATTTGAAAAAAGTAAATAAAACATTATTTTGCCAAAAAAAACCAAAAACCTTTGAGGTTTTAGAAACCAATTTCTACATGTCAGACCCTCCCTTGGACTGGCTTTCTCATCCTTGGTTGGCCTCAAGCTTGTTAGATTTCAGACATGGCTTGATTTCTTTCTGTCCCAGTTCTCTGGGTCAATGCACATTTCCAAGGTGATCCAATATTTCCTGCAGTGTTTCCTGTGAAGGATGCCCAGAAACAGGAGAAAAGAAATGAAGGTTGCCTGGAAAGTCAAAAGAAAGATTCTAAAGGTAAGATAATGGGGGATCTTAAAGCCATATGCCGCCAGGGCTCAGCTGTAGTGGGTGGCACAGACAGCACTGTCCTTAAGTCCAGGAGCACAGACACAAAAGCCTAAAGGCCAGGCAAGGTAATGACAGAGAATGAAGGGCCAGGTGTTGTGAGGACAACTGGGAGAAGTGGGAACATTTATAGGTGACAACTGACTGGCTACTCAGGTCCAGTTCATTGCTGTCACGTGGAAACACAGGCCCAGCACTGCCATGAGTCTGCCAGAAAGTGACTCTATCCAAAACTTAGCAACATGAGAGCAGGAAGAAGAGCCTGGTGCATGAGGAGGGGGTCACTCAACCCTTGTGAGATGAGTGAGAGCCTTCCTGAGCAGACGGGGGACGGTCTTGGAAGAGACGGCTAGTGATATAGAGGACCCATAAACAAGGCAGGAAATATCTACAAAGTAAGGTTGAGTCACAGTCACTGGGATGGAAAGGAAAGGGTGAAATGCTGTAGACAGGCTAAAGAATTTTCAAAAAGCAGAACTCAGCGAAAGAGCAGATGTGCAGGACTAGGGCAGCGATGAATCTTCCAGGGGAAGTCTGCAATGAACTCGTGTAGAGCGCCGAAGAACTGGTCACAAGGGAGAGAAGGTAAACACAATCTTCTACCCTAGCTTTAAAGTCCTGCACCTGGCTCTCCCAGAAAACTTTATTTTCTTTCTTTTCCATTCTCCCACAAAAGGGATCAGGGGATAACCGGGGTCCGGAGGCCCAAGCATGGAGAGTAATAGTGCCAGTCTTATAGCTAATTAGGTGATGAGGTATTCATTCAAAAGTAATTGTTAGCAAAGTTAACAGAGGAACAGACAGGGCAGGGGATAAGCATTCAATAGGGACAATGTCTACAGATAAGAGGCAAAAACAGCTTGGGCTGTGTGGAGTCATGACATATTGGCCAAATGGTGAGGAAGCAAGGACAGAAAAGGGTAAGGGAGAACCTTAAACAGTTCTCAAGTCATGGATTTTCACAGCATGAGGCATGCCTTTGGTTCTGGTTCACAATTCTCTTAAAGACTTAGAAAGCAAAGATTAAAAATTGTGCCAAACAAAAGTATTCAGGACAAATAAGAAATGGCAGACTCAAGACTACTGCTCAGCTAAGCCAGGTGAGCCTTTTCATGACATGACTTTTGTGGGCTTTAGCCTAAAGAAGTATTTTTATGATTATCAAATTGGATCCATGGCCTTAGACAAATCTCAATGTTCATTTCAAAAGATAAACTTCATTAGAAGTTTAAGAACAAGAACAACTACAACTACTTGTTAACTAAAAAATTATTATAGTAGCTAATATTTACTACTTAGTTAACTAATTAGTAAATTAGTGATTGCTAATTAAGGGCCAAGGCACTATACAAAGCCCTTTAAATGCACTGTTTTGTAAATCTTTACAATGATTCTATGAAGGAGCTGGTGGCATCATGCCAAATTTACCCCTGAGGAATAAAAGCAAGACCTAGATATGTGAAATCACCTGCCCAAGATGATAAAGTCTTTGAGTGACAGAGCTGAGGTTAGAACTGAGGTGCTTCCATTCCAAAGTACTTAAGCCCTGGTTCTAAGCCAGGGGAAGCAAGTATTTTCTGTAAAGAGACAGAGAGTAGTTATTTTTGGCTTGTGGGTAATATGGTCTCTGTCACAACTACTCAACTCTGCCTTGTAGTGTAAACACAGCCACAGAGCATACATAAACAGATGGGCATGGCTGTGCTCCGACAAAACTTTATTTCTGGACAATGAAATTTGAATTTCATATAGTTTTCGTGTGTCATAAAATATCATTCTCTCTTTGATTTTTTTTTTTTCCTCCAAGCATTTTAAAAAGTAAAAACCATTCTTAATTCCTGGGTCATAAGAAAACAGGCACTGGGCTGGATTTTCTCCACCCACTGGAGCTTGCTGACCCTGGTTGAAGCCACTAGACCCTGTTGTCCTCGCACTTACATCATGTGGTAGTTTCCTCAGAAGGCCCATAGGTATTTAGGAAAAAACCTGTGAGAATGTGTCTGAATGGGGCACACGATTCTGAGAAACAATTGTGAGGAAAGGCACAACAGAAACAGCCCTGGCACCACCCGATCCCAGACTGAGACTTGAAAATATCTTTCTTCCTCTCAGTCCCCTCACTTGTACACTTCAATTGAAATAAGCATTGAATCCGAAACCAGGGGAAAATATGGGATGACCCCTCCCACATAACACAGTTTTCCACAACTATGGGCCCGGTATGCTCTTCTTACCTGCAGGGTTTGGCTGAAACGCTTTAACGGTGTGGCCTTCACTGGCGGGATGAGATTTGCTAGTGATGTGACTCTGGAAAGGGGTTTGACTCGTTTATTACTAGGCTCCTGTAGGGTTAGAAAAAATAGAAAAGGAAAATGTCAAGGTCAATTATGAAGAGAACATGACTCCACAATACAGCTGTGTCCCAATCCATGAGCTGCTGGCTGCACACTGATCTGTAGAATATAAACAGTGCCCTGTCTCACTCCAGCTGCATGAAGATGACCTGGCTTAGGAGGCAGGGAAAGAGAAATGGTAGGGGATGTCAACAGAGACAGCCTCTGAGAGTATAGCAAAGGGACAGGGATCTGCTCCTTATCCCTCAGCCCCAGTATCTGCCAGCTTTTAATTCGGAAGCTTTCACTTAGGAGAAGCATTTTCCTCACCCTTTCTGTAGAGAAAAGCAGCCTCTGATTTCTCATTCAATGACCTTGTCAAGCAGTTGTTTTTTGTTAGTTCTAGTTTCCTCTTTTTAAACACCTTGTTTAAAGCCATTCTTTTATGCAAAGGCTTTTCTAAATCACAAAGATTGTTTAGTTCACTATATTAAAAATATTTTTAAAAAATAATTTATGACACTGGGCTTTTAAGACAGCTTTTTTGTGTCTACCATGTATTTGAAATAAATTCTTATAATAATTTATAAATATTAATATTTATAAATAATAACCAGACAGCAAAAGAAAGCGCACAAAAGAAAACTCCACTATAGGCATCCGTTTCTACACCATAAATAGCCACAAGTTTTAAAAATCACCTCCACATAAAATGTTATTTGCAAATCTGCAAATTACTTCAAACCAGGTTGAGGGGTAAGAGGAAGCCTGCCCATTTCAAGGACTTTGCAGACATGAATTACATAAATAAAACAGCAGGCTGTGAGGAAAAGAGAGACGACAGACAAAACATTTTACAAAGACAAAGAGAACAGTTACCCTTGTCTTCCTAAGCTCCATCTGACCTGTAGTAGATGCTGGACATGAAGATACCAAATTTTGATGGAAAAAGCCAGAGTAGCCAATTGTGGTGGCAAATATTAATCATTTCCAGAGGCTTTAGCTGTTCATCTTTCCTTTTTAGCCATTACTTTCAAAGTTTCAAGGGTTAAGCCAGAACTTCAGATTCTCCAGGAGATCCCTGCATCCCTGTTCTGAACATTGTAGGTACTTTGAAGAGTCTTTCAAGAATCTGGAATCCTGTTGAGAAGCTCTCATGTCATTTTATGCCCTGGTCAGCCCCAGAAATCAAAAGCCTCTGAATAGACTGTCTCCAAGCTTTCCAGCATTTAAATCTAAAAATTTAGAAATTTTAACTATTCAGTACAATCCCACAATGTGGCCAGCAGTGACTTCACAATTTTTCAAAGCAGTCATATACTTTTCCAAGACAGAGAATGAATCCAGGCTGCTGGGTCCCTCTCCGGCTTCTTAGCGTACTAAGACAGCAGAAAACTCTTGCAATGCCAGGAAGGCTCAGTTCCAAAATGCAAAGGATGAATCTCCCAACATGAGAGACATCACATTACAATGATTTAAGTGCAGAAGAGAAAGATCTGACAGCCCTTCTGCTTCAGGTGACAGTATCCTTCAGTATGCCCCCTGTCTAGTACCTGGCTCCTGAGCATTTGTGCCCAGAGGAGGATTTAAAAAAATTTTTTTTTACGTCAGAGCTGCACCACCAGCATACTGAATACACACACACACACACAGAGTCTCCTGAGCATCTTTTGAATGCCTCTAAATGGCTCCTGCTTTGGGGCTGGAAATGCCAGGTTGGTGGCACAAACTGAATTACAGCAGGAGACAGGGATTCCGGGTGGGAGCAGGACTTGGTCTCAGATAATACTGTGTGCATCTCAGAACCCAGAGACTCTGAGTCAGTCTCTCTCACTCTCTCTCTCTCCTTTTTTTAGTGGTTAAAGCTGCTGGGTCACAGAATGAGGAGGTTAAAGGGCAAACACTAACTGGGTTCTTTTGCTTTAAAAGGGACAGGGAGCGTTGGCAGTACGGGGGATGCACCACCTCTGTTCCACTTGCTGTGTCATCTTTTCTAAGGTTCTGCTGACTCTGCTGCCTATTTCACATGATCCAGTCAGGTAGCATTTTCTGCACAGCTATAAGATGTAGGTAACAGTGCAAATGCTGGCCCCTCTTCAGGCTGAGTGCAGCACTGCTACATGAGATTGTAATTAACACTGCATTCCTAAAACAGTGCCCATTTGGAAATAAACATCAGGCTACTCTCTGGCAATCTGACATTCTGAAGTAACAAACGATTGGACCAGAAGTAGTTGCTGCATGATTTAGTGTTATGATTCAGCAATGCAAGCAGGTGTAATTTCAAAACCAGAACACTTTACAGGTTCCTGGAACTGTGAGGGAGGCTTTATGCCTATCCCATATGAGGGAAGTATGAATTATGGTGTTCTCCTTGAGGGCTTCTGTGAGAACAGGAGATTAAAAAAAAATTCTTGACCTAATTTGATTTTCTTTTCCATTTACTCAGTATGTCTCCAGCTACATTTTACTGCTATCTAAAGAGAGCCCTCAGGGAAAATGTTTCCAGATTCTAGTTAAATAGCTCCACAGAGAACTAGCAAATGCAATACCAGAGATGCTTTCAGGTTTTACAGAAAGATGATAGAACACAACCTGCAGAGAGGCTTCCTAGTCCAAACTGGGCAAGGTCACTACTAAACTCAGAAACAAGGTGCCATGTTTCAAGTACAGACACCACCCCCATCATGTGATTTTTAAGATAGGGCAGGAGAAGCTGGGCTCAGTGGCTCAGCCTGTAATCCCGCACTTTGGGAGGCTGAGTGAGTGGACTGCCTGAGCCCGCGGGTTCGAGACCCACCTGGGCAACTTGGCAAGACCTCATCTCTACAATAAGTCAAAAATTAGCCGGGCGTGGTAGCGCACACCTGTAGTTCCAGCTACTTGGAAGGCTGAGGCGGAAGGATCGCTGGAGCCCAGCAGGTCGAGGCTGCGGTGGCCAGGAGCAGCCACTGCACTCCAGTCTGGGTGACAGAGTGAGACCCCAACTCAAAAAAAAAAAAAAAAAAAGATAGGGCAGGAGGGTATCTCACTAAAGTGGTTATTAAAAAAAAGAAGAAGAAGAAGGTATTGAGCATTCTGTCCAGGCATTATTTTGTGAAAAACAATACTTTTGTTTCATCTTTTTTTTTTCTTGTCTTATTGCACTGGCTAGGCCCACCTGTGTATTGTTGATTACAAGCCAAGACAGTGGATACACTAGTTTATTATTCTAAAGTGATTATTTTATCATTTAATCACTTAAAGTAAGATTTTATCATTAAGTATTGCATTTGTTGAAACAGTGGAAGAAGCACCCTTTATCAAGTAGAGGAATTTCACTGTGAATTTTTATCATGAATTGACATTGGCTTTTATCAAATGTTTTTTTTTTTTCCCATCTATTCAGAAGACAAGAAAAAAAATATGGAAGGAAAAGGAGAGAGTTAGGAGGAAGAAAAGGAAAGGATGAAGAAAGATACACACAGAGGTCATATTTTTTTCATAAAGGAATTTATTTGGCAATTTAAAATATCTCTCATGCTTAACTATAAACAAAGGGGACTAAACAAAGGGGACTAAAGCACTCTACCCAATTTAATGTTTAATATGAGTTTTTATGAAATGGATTTTAGTATTCCTTCTCTAGGGAATACAATTTTTATCCTCTCCTAATTCTCCGCCCCCCGCCCCCACAGGTAAGAACCAAGTGAGATTGTATACAATGTAAGAAAATGCTTATCCTATCAATATAATCTAGCATAATTTTTTATTCCTTCAAAAAAAAATAGTTCCATTGAAATAGACGTGGCATACAGGACACATACACCCCCTTCCCCTAACTTTCCTTATACTTCATTTTTGCAGTCAGAGGGGTTGGGAAGTGGTAAGAAGTTCATCCATACCATGTTTACAGCTGCCCTGAGACTCGATTTCACTGAGTCACAAACATGACCCAGGAGACACTGGAAATGAAGCTATCAGCTTAGAATGCTATACTGTAGGGCAGTGAAGCTCTTGGCTGCTCTACATCTGGCCAGGAGCAAGGGAGAGATGAGAACAGATTGTGCCAGCAGATGTTTTTGCCCATGAGTTGATAGAGTCATATAAAAAAGTCTTTCAAATATTTGGAAATATCAGGGAAGCCTTTGCAGGGTTCCATCTGTGTGCCAGGAGTTATGTGGAAACTGCAGTCCCATGGTTGCATTTAATTCCCTCAGTAACCCTCTAGGTGGTTTTCATCATCTTCATGTTAGATGTTAGATGTTAGACAGGAAGTTACAGTCTTACAGTGATTGAGAAACTCTAGCATAAATAAACAATAACAATGAGCTAATACTGGTCACAGGAACTTGTCTCACTGCTTTACATATATTTGCTAACTTATTCCTCCTAACATCCATATGAGTTAACTACTATTACGATCCCCATTTTACAGATGGGGAAACTGAGGCATAGAGTGGAACAATCTGCTTAAAGTTACTCAGTTAAAAAAAAGGTGACCAGGATGTAAACCCACACAGGCTGACCCCAAAGCCCATGCCCTACACCAGGGCTTGGCAAACTTTTTCTGTAAGGGGGCCAGACAGAAAAATCTTTTAAGCTTTCCGGGCCATCCAGCCTCTGTCATGACTACTCATTTCTGCTATCAGTCAACAATCTACAAATAAATGAGCATGGTTATGTTCCATTAAACCTTTATTTATAAACACTAACAACTGGCCCTCACTTCCCCTGGTTTAGGACCAGCTACGCTTTGTTATGTACTCCTCCTCTCCACTTCCCCTGGCAGTGCTCAGCGACTGCCGATGTCTCCCTTGTGCAATGTGATTAATATTCAGGTCTCACTTATGAGTGAGTACATGTGATATTCAGTTCTTTGTTTCTGGGATAGATCACTAAGTATGATGGCCTCCAACCCTCTGTAATTTGCTGCAAAGTTTATGATTTTGTTCTTTATGGCTGCGTAATACTCCATTATGCATATGTACCACATTTTCTTTATCCAGTCCATTTCAATAGGTCATAGGGTTGGTTCCATGTTTTTGCTATTGTGAATAGTGTAGCTATAAACATGCACGTGCAAGTGTTTTTTTTGGCAGAACGATTTACATTCCTCCGAGTATATTCCAGGAAAGGGATTGCCGGATCCTATGTTAGATCAAGTTTTAGTTCTTTTAGAAATCGTCACATTGCTTTCCATAGAGGTTGAACTAGCTTGCACTCTCACTAACAGTGTAGACGTGTTTCCTTTTCTCCATACCTGCCAACATCTGTTGTTTTTAGATTTATTAATGATGGCCATCCTTATTAGAATTCAGTGGTATCTCATTGTAGTTTTGATTTACATTTCTCTGATGATTAGTGAGGTTGAGCATTTTTTCATGTATCTGTTGGCTGCTTCCTCAGCAAAAGGAATAAAGCAGGAGGTATCATGCTTCCAGACTTTAAACTTTACTACTAGGCTATAGTAACCAAAACAGCCTGGTATTGGTACAGGAGTAAGCACACAGATCAATAGAACAGGATAGAGATTGTGGAAGCAAAAACATGGACTCTCAACCAACTCATCTTCGACAAAGCCAACAATAACAACCACTGGGGAAGGGAGACCACATTTAGCAAAAGGTGCTAGGAAAACTGGCTAACCATATGCAGAAGAATGAAACTGGACCCTTACCTATCACCATACACAAAAGTCAACTCTAAATGGATCAAAGACCTAAACATAAAACCTAAAACTATAAGAATCCTAGAAGAAAACATAGGAAACACTCTCATGCACATTGGAGTAGGCAACCAATTCTTGACCAAATCCCCAAAAGAGAATGACATAAAGCTAAGCTAGACAAGTGAGACATCATAAAACTGAAAAACTTTTGCACAGCAAAAGAAACCATCAAGAGAGTGTAAGACAGCCCACAGAATGGGAAAAAATATTTGTTAATCATATATCTGACAAAGGCCTAACATCCAGGATCTACAAGGAACTCAAATGAACTGAAAGGAAAAACAAACAAACAAACAACCCATTAAAAAATGGGCAAAGAACACAAATAGAAAATTTTCAAAACTCTAATTTATTTTAGAAACACACAGATAAAACAGGACCCTGTTGTATATATTTTAATTTGCGAGTGTGCTTTGCTTTCTCCACAACTGCCTCCGAAATCCATGCTTTTATCTCCATTGCTACAATACCACCTTCTACTAGGGGGTTAAATTGCCTTGATTTTACCATCCCTCTTCCACAGTGCCAAAGGGGGTTCACAATGTTTCATAGTTTATGCCCAAAACTGTCGCCCTTCAAAACTTCTAGTTTACCACAAATATTCTTATGTTCTCACTTCCTTTGACACCTATTTTTTTTTTCTTTGTTTCTTTTTTTAGAGATGGAGTTTTGCTATGTTGCCCAGGCTGGCCTCGAACTCCTAGCCTCAAGCATTCTGCCGCCTTGGCCTCTCAAAGTGCTGGGATTACAGGCATGAGGCATGCGACATCATGCCAGGCCTATAACACCTCCTATTGCCAAGGCCTTCTCCATCCTTTCAGGGTTTCTCATTTGCCCACAGGACAATTCTTTAACTCCTGCC